TGTGTGGCGTCGTCTACCATTTCGCTGTCGCATCAGATCTAACGACTCCCTAGGAATTGCCTTCGCTGACAGTCACGACCCGGCTTTGACCTGCCACAGACCGTGACTTTACAAGTGTACATTTAATTTTTTTACACAAATTGCTATTCAATATAATATTTTGTCATAGCAATATCATTATTGCTATTCAATATAAAATTCAATAAAAAGCTATTCAATTGCCTACAGCTAGATCGAGTTTGGTCGGACTATGACACCCCGTTTGAAAATCATTCTGTAAAAACCTTGGAGGGGATTCTTTTCATTTCCGACTTTTCAAATCTGTTGGCAATCACCCGTTCCCGTCGGCGTACCCTCACAAAATTAGTGAGAGGTGTGTGTATGAGGAGGACAAAATGATGTAGTTAAGAGAACATGTTAAAGGAATAAACGGATCATGCAATCAACACCTTAAATATCGAAATGTAGAAGGCATCCGTAGCACCCTCGCAGAAAAGGAAAACAGAACAAACATGATACAAAAAGTTCACAAACAATTATTCCCATTGGTTGTTTTAAAAGATTTCACAGTATCGAAAACTCCAAAGCTCGGATTCAACACTAGCATCATCCTGCTAAATGACGCCACTCTTCGACCAATCACGGTCACGCACACGGCCGCCACGGTCATTGCACGTACCTCGTGGCATCAACCAGCCAATCAGCAGCTCTCCAGGCTCTGCTTGTCGCTGCTGACTGATTGACATACATGTCAGACAAAATGTCATATGCCTAATTCGATCGAGTGCAAGCTGAGACTGAAGTTTATGATTAAGCAAACAACATTAATCAGAAGTCTCATGACATCTTGACATGGGGAAACAGGACATTCGTTTCACCATTATGGCTTTGACACTGAAAACAATGTCATCCTCAGCGTCGACTGATGCAAGCACTGGTGAGTCGTAAATTGGAAACGTTTTATCCCTTGTTGGCCCTAAATTGATGTGCGGTGATACTCCTGGTTATTGTTATAGTTTTTGACAAAAATATTATATGGTAAAGCCCTTAAGGACCGGCTCTAGCTTTAATCTTTGCTTCCGCGATCTATCACAAAGATCAAGATATTCAGCCCCGTATGCTGCCATGGCTCTGACAGAGCGAGTCTATCTTCTCTGGACTGTACCCATACGCCGGCCAGTCCGACGTACCAGCAAGCGGACCACTCCATTCAGCTGTCCGATCTAGTTCCGTAGATCTATGGTTGCCCGTTACTCGTCCGGTTTATCTTAATTTGTCCAGTTAGCCTGCCAGTCTATGCCGTTTTACATCTGATGCTCCGCTTCCGATTGCACGCGTCTGCTAGTAATTTAACATGGGTGTTGCCGATCTAGTGGTATTAGGTACTTATGGTCACGGGTGTCGGCCTCGGTCTGCGAACCAACACAGCGTCCCACCGACCTTGGCGCTCGTGTCTCGCGCGTAGTTGGTGCCAATCAGTTGGCTAATCAGTTGGTGCTTGCCGTGCTCTGCTAGCGGCGGCGGCCGCAGTAGTTGTGGTGCTCGGACGCGGAGAGTCACGTGGTCACGTCTGACAAAGCGCGTCACGTTGTCCGCCGGTCGAGCACCGAAGCCAGCCCCACCAGACGACGGACGGTCATGGCGGGAGACGAGCCCGGCCAGGAGGCCAGCCCGGAGCGGCAGACGGCCGAGCTGGGGGCAGGGCAGGGGGCGGCCCAGCATAGCGCAGAGCGGGAGCCGCGGAAGACAGGATCAAACCAGAGCAACTGAAGACGGACACGGGAGAGCCGAGCCCGACGATAAGCCCGAGAAACACGGCATAACCCCGAGCTCGTGCAGACGTTCCTCGACCGCTTCCTACCAGCCGGCAATCGATCTGTCGTCAAGGCCTACAAGTACTGGCCTGTGGCCACGCTGGGGAGGGCTACACGACCGTGAGAAAAGTTCTGGAGGTTACGTACCTGCGATGAGGTCAAGGAGAAAGAGGAGGTCGTCAACTTCGTCGTCAAACTGCCCGTACGTTTGGATGGCGAACCTTTGCCACGGTCGCGATCTTTATGCAGGGCGATAATATTGGTACATTTGGGTTACGACTGGTAACACTACCTTTTACACTATGGAAAGTTCAACAGAAGTCACCATGCTCCTCAGTGTCTTTTCAACAGCCATTGAGAGCTCTCACGCTTCAGTTACTTTGGTTAATGACGTAGCGTGTCTGAGAAGAAATTCCAGGCAAGTTATAAGGGTGACCTAAGCGATCTTAAATTGGCCTAGACCTTGGCTGACCTTACGCAAGGCGTGAGCGGTAGTGGTGTATGACATAGGATCTCCATACAGGAAGGAGGTACTGTGCCACACTGATAATTCATCGGGCAACTCTGTTTCCCTTCACTTCCGCTCTGCGTCGCGAGGCACAGAGCTTCAGAGCGAGGTCATGGGTCGGTGACCTGCTCGGGCCAGAGGCTCAAAATTGCACACCATATGAAAAAGCCAAAATACCAACGTGAGTGGACGCAATTGACTTAAGACAAGCTGAATGGCTGGAGAAATACTTCCAAAAATGCCGGCAGACGAGTGCGCCAATCTCCATCCCTCTCGAGTCCATTCGTTGGCATGTGCCGACGCGCCCTGCAAAATGCACATTGTATTTCGCATGTGGTCTGGAAAGCGCCGAAAATATAAGTCACAACCGATTCGATAATTATTCAGGCTTGCCACGCAGTAACCACATATGTCATCTAACATCATACAGATGCCTGGCTTTCATTAAGCATGACTCCGTTTATTTTGGGAAGCATCGGTTGACGCGAAGTGGACGAAATGAACATCCGAGCCCAATTTTCTGACACGTCCGCGCCCGCATCCGCCCCATCTGTCGCCAGGCGGGATGTTCGTCAAAGAGTGCCGCGACTTCGGGCTGTACGAGCGCGAGGTGGTCATGTACGCCCAGGTGGTGGAGGTGTTCCGCCAGCTACTGACGTCTCGCGGCCAGCCCGTGCTGCTGCCGTTCGCCCGGCTGGCTTACGGCACGATGCTGAAGGACGGCCAGATCCTGGACGAGCGCGGCCAGCTGGCGGCCGACCAGCGGCTGGGCGAAATGATGGTGCTGGAGATGCTCACGGGCTACGAGGTCGTCGACAAGAAGGTCAGCTGGCGACGGGCCGGTGGTCATTCTGGCGCGGCTCCTCCCGTGCCGGGGCACCCTTCATTTCCTGTCGGGTTTGCCATGCCTATCGACGAGTAGCCATGATCCATCATGGGAACAGTGATAGGGGTGTTAGTAGCAGGATAAAGTGTAAGCGTAGCCACGTGCATGCTGGGTAAGATTGAGAAGAGATTATGCGTCGTGAGCGTTCATTTCGGCCCAACCTTACTACTACATTAAAGCAAAGAAAACAAATTGGTTAAGTGGCAGTCAGGGAACGCCTTCCTGCACAATCCATCATTTTGAGGTGCCTTTTCATCGAAACATCCACATGTTCGTAAAAGACACCTACCGACTTCGAAGATGACGAAAAAGGTTTTCCGTATGTGGCATTTGCTGAGTGATTACACATGTTTTGCTACCTCATTTATTCTAAGGAGACCGAGCACAAAAGGAGTCAATTACCTTCAAAAAATATCAAAGTTCAACAAGTGTTGAATTTTGGAACAACAAACAAAAACAAGGCAACTCGCAACTAGCAAACGCAAGGAGTCAGAAAGTATGCCTGGGAGGCAATGGGCGTTTCAGACCCATTTTTTCCCCGGGCAAATGCAGAAACATTGGTGACCCATCCCTACCCTGGAGCTTGCTACAACGCTTTTATCACTGCATTATGATGTGGAAACAATATTGTGACAGTTTACGTGGCGGAGAGAGTGAAATTTATCAATTAATCATGTCGGAGGGCTCAAGAGGGGGGCTTTTCCCGAAATGTACACATTACGTACCAGCCGGCTTATGTAGTCAACCATTAAACTTCGCAACCAAGCTGCAATCATTCCCTCCAAAGTAGAGAAGCAAAAGTACGGGCTGTTATAACGTTATACTCTTGCTAGCCGTTGACTCTTGTTTGCCATTCGTCCGATAAGTTGTCACTTCAGTAGGAACCATTAGCGGCTACCACTGCGTCGTACTACCCACAATTCTCATGTCATATTGCGACTGAATATTTCTGGCAACTTGCAACGGAATGGGGCAACGGGTAGCAAAAAGACACATGCTGTGAAGGCTGGCGAAAAATCCGTCACGTTTTACCTGTTGTGTGTGTGTGCATCTATAACAAACATTAGCTGTGCCAGATGTCTTTGAGTCGTAATAGATCAGAACATGGCGCTAGATATGAGTTCTGTCAACAGTGACCAGGACGCTGCATTCGTGCCGCATGATCTGGCCGGTCGCCTTGAGCTCGGTCAGGTCAGAGGCCCATCACTGGTGCCTGAACCAGGCGAGCCAGCTCGAGCCAGGTGCGTCACCTGCTGCGCTGAGGGAGGCATCTGATGTGAAGCTAACCGTCACGCGGGACCGGACATCGGTCACCTTGCGACTGGCAGCTTCGGCTATGGCAGCACTCATGATCTGACCTTGATCTTCAGGTGGGGTTTGACCTGGATCACGTGCGGCTGGTGCTGCCGGCCATGGCTCGTTTCCACGCGATGGGCTACGTGCTACACCAGAAACATTCTGAAAGAGCCGATCGTCTACGCAGCGTAAGGCTTCAGCAATAAGAACAGGCAGACAGACGGACAGAAGGACAGACTGAAATGCCGTTAAGACAAACTTCATGAAGGCGAAGCTTACAGCAGTACAACGCTGTTTTGAGACCACAGCGAGCGAAACCCCGTGCCCTATGGTATCGTGGATTACTCGCAAGCATCGGCACCGTTGATCACCGTACAGTTGAATGCAACCGACTACACTCAGCTTTGCCAATAATTTAGCTCGCAAAAACACCGAGCTCATTCCGAGTACACATTCCTGACGTACGCAAACCGGCGCGTTGCAATAATTTCCGTATCTGCAGCGCCTAGGTGTCTTGTCACTCACGTATGTCACTCACCGCTTCGCGTACTTCTGTGGCGTTAGTAGAAAGCCAAACTTCCCCCTCCGCGTGGGCGCCTTTGGTTGTAATAGCGACCCCCACACTGAGAGTAATACCGGTCACTCGAACCCGCACGTGGCCTGGATCGCGAGGGACCTCAGTGGTGACCTTTCCCCGGCCGCGACAGGTGCGTCTCGAGATGCCGGACGACCTGTCCCCAGTTCGGCCTGGCCCTGAAGCCACATTCTGGCCGGTGCTGGAGCACGAGGGCCTTCTGTCAGAGGCAGCCGCTGTGGACAGAGTCACCAGCGCCAATCACTTCATAGACGCTGTCAACCGTACCTTCACAGAAGATCTGGACGTGGTAACGCTGGTCCATGGTGATCTCTGGATCAGCAATATGATGTTTGAAGGTTAGTATCCGGCACCTCAGCATCGGCGCCACGCTGTGCGGCACGAGCCGTTCCCTCTATTTGTCGAAGACTTACGCTCTATTTGCCTGGCGTGAGTGTATGACTACAATTCCGCTGTTCCCATTATCTCCTGTGGGTTCCTCTGTGCAACACGATCCTCCGTTTGCATGATCTTCAGTTCGCACCCCCTACAGCAAGATACAGCACCTCTGCTTGCACGATCCTTCGTTTTCATCCTCCGTGCAGAATTATGGTTACAATCCATCCGCATGCGGCATGGGGCCGTTTCGGCTCTGCGTTCAGTGGGACAGAGCTCTGTTCGCATTATCCTCTCCGCTTGTTTTAGTGGCGTGCGTTGCGTGCCTTTCTGTGTGTATCATGGTCCCAACCTCGCTTATTATAGTTTTGATATCGTGAACAATTCCTGAAAGCTGCTCGCTTCCTTACGCAGTGGACCAACATCCTTACAGAGCACATCATAACACCTGTAGCTCAATCACAGCTTTCTTGTTTCGCAGTGCAGTACAGCCCTTCTGTTTGTACTTTATCAATCAAGGTGCAGGCCACCATTCACAGAGGATCAAACTTAACTGAAGAGATGCTTGAAATCTTATGTTGGTTTAGTTTTGTAGACCACGGCCGTTATCCAACACAACCTGTTGCAAACAAGCTGACCCCCACACCATCCCTGGCTTGCAATTCCAGTGCAGCGGTCAATGCTGCCAACACGTTTACTGTGCCGTGCAGCCCCTCCGAGTGGCAGCTGCCATTTCCCGCTCTGATTCTGTTGGGGCAGGCCGCTATCACTCGTCGGGGACGAGCCACGTAAGTGAGATTTCTGGAACGGGAACCTAGATGGATACCACAGTGTTCAGAGATCCCATACTCTACTTGTTCAGCTTCGGGTACATCACAGGAAATCATCTGTCCGCAATAGGTACATCACTGCTCAGCAAAAGCAATGCTCTTTCTATTCGCAAAACATCACAGTATTCTACTTGATACACATCACTGCGCTTCTTTTGACATGTGCAGAACAGCTCGTCCATTTGCAATACATCGCATGTGAATCGTGATGTATGCATCGCATTGCTTTCTTTTGCAGTACATTGTGTGCCACGGAGGAACCACTTACTTAAATCGGTTGAGGGTATAGGTCATGGTGAGTGACATGAAGCACTGTTAAAACCCCTATGCAGCGGGGTTTGATCCACTACATTTCCGAAGCTTCGGTTGGATGAATTTCTGAAATCATAACACATGCTAAGCAGTGTTTGTTTTGTGGACACTAACCAGCCCAACCGATGATGGAAATTCCAGGCCAACGCCAGACATTGCGGCAAAAGCTCGACGTGCCGTAATGCTCGGCACGACCATCCTGTCCTCTAAGACTCTAACGATATCTGACCACTGGCATGACTGCTGCCACAGTCCACAGGTCATTCCAGTCAGGAGCAACATAGCGAGCGCTGACAGCGGCTCAAACTGACCCGGCTCGAGCGCTGAGAGCGGCTCAAACTGACCCGACACGAGCGCTGAGAGAGGCCCAAACTGACCCGGCACGAGCACCTGAGAGCGGCTCAAACCTGACCGGACACGAGCGCTGAGAGCAGCTCAAACTGACCCGGCACGAGCGCTGACTGCGGCTCAAACACTGACCCGGCACGAGCGCTGAGAGCGGCTTAAACTGACCGGGCCACGAGCGCTGAGAGCAGCTCAAACTGACCCAAGAGCACTGAGAGCAGCTCAAACTGACCCGACACGAGCGCTGAGAGCAGCTCGAACCCACCCCGTCACGTGTGGGTAGACCTGATAAAAAGCGCTCTAACCAATGAGCCGTCGGGACTGAGTTTGAACGTGAAGCATGTGTGTAACCTCTAGGGGGCGGGGCGGGGAAGGAATGGGACATCGCCCATCCCCCAATTCTCCCAAGGGGGATCTGCTTCTCCCAACTTTGCTCGTATGCCTATATTTTTCCCGGTTCCCATTAAAATAATGTCTTTGTTGGTCGGTCCCCTCAGATTCCAGTTTGACCCCTCCTATCGTGATTTGTCCCTCGGCTTTTAAGGCGTAGCGACGCGACACTCAACCTCATCTTAAGGCCACCTTAACGACTGTGGCCTGTCTAGGACTGTAAGAAGCGGCAATCCTTGTCGTTCGGTTTTCATTACACCACATTCTTTCTGCTTGCCGCCCACCACAGCATTTGGTATGATGCAAATTACGGCATTCTGTTTGCAATTTAAGGCATCTTCTGTGTTTTGGGTGCACCGCGGCGCTTTCTGCGTCGCGCCACGGACGTTCCATGTTGCAGTACCGCACAGATGAGGACGGCGTGCGCCACCCGGAGGACATCAAGTTCTTGGACCTGCAGACGTCACGCTTCGGCGACCCGGCCTTTGACATCATGTACTGCATGCTGACCTCGACGCGCCGAGCTTTGCGCCGCCAGCACTTCCGGGACATGCTGAGCTGGTTAGTGGCCAGGCGACTGTCGGGCCAGTCTCGGCGCATCCGAGCGCATCTCGGCGGATCTGAGCGGATCTCGGCGGATCTGAGCGGATCTCGGCGGATCCGAGCGGAACTGAGTGGATCTCGGCGGATTTGATCTGTGTTCTGGGCGGATCCATGTGTTCGTAGAACGATACATTGTGTTTTAAGAGCTCGTGAACACTTCAGGCTATTTACCCTCGCATTTGGATGATGGCTTAGAAACCTAGCATAGCCTCAACATAAGAACACACTGCCGTTCCATTCACGCAAAGCTGCCGTGTTCCATGGCGCATTTCTGCCGTCAAAGGCAAAAGGCCCAAGCGTGATTAAGCAAATTGGCACTTGGACCCTCTTGCCTCTGGACGACAGATTTAAGTCCGCCATTCAAAAATGCCCCCTTTGTAAATGGAAAAAATTCATCGAATAAGTGTGAAAATGATCAAGAGCTTCTTGTTAGGTACGGGCTATATCATTTCCACCATGCGTGAGTAATTGGTGTTCAAAGCAACACGAACACCTGTACGTATTTACAAACATTTGGCCCATCTTTGTCCAAAGCGGCCAAATGGTAATTTTAAGGAACAATTTGAGTCCACAATGATCATACTTGTAGTCTCAATTTGGGTCCATAGTTACTACAACCCCGCATCCGTGAGCTCACGATAGCCAGCATCCGGTGTGGTCCGCCACAGCCGGTATGGTCCGCCACAGCCGGTGTCGTCCGGCCGCAGCCGGTGTGGTCCGCCACAGCCGGTATGGTCCGCCACAGCCGGTGTCGTCCGCCACAGCCGGTATGGTCCGCCACAGCCGGTGTCGTCCGCCACAGCCGGTGTCGTCCACCACAGCCGGTGTGGTCCGCCACAGCCGGTGTGGTCCACCACAGCCGGTGTGGTCCGCCACAGCCGGTGTGGTCCACCACAGCCGGTGCGGTCCGCCACAGCCGGTGTGGTCCGCCACAGCCGGTGTGGTCCGCCACAGCCGGTATGGTCCGCCACAGCCGGTATGGTCCGCCACAGCAGGTGTGGTCCACCACAGCCGGTGTGGTCCGCCACAGCCGGTGTGGTCCGCCACAGCCGGTGTGCTCTGTTAAACTGTTCGCCGCACTTTCAGCGCACTCGCTCTGTGGTCAGGTACGTGGCAGCGTTCCGGACTCAGCTAGAGGAACTGGGAGAGGAGCCGGACCAGCTGGCCCCCTGGCTCAGTGTCGACAGACTCTACAGCATGTACGGAAATGCGCTAAGCAACAGCTGGATCCAGGCAGAGCAGGTAGTCCAGGTGAGCTCGTGTCTGTTGATGCACGGGTGACGATCGATTGGTAGGCTGGTCCCTTCAGTGGCTCCCTTTCATCTTGCGATTGGTTTGGCGGTTTCGTTCCGCTTCAGTTCCTTCCCCATATTTACGTTTCCCAGCCGCAGGAGCGACGTGTCCTATAGGTTGTCATTATTAAAGCTGTTCTGTTTTGCGCTATAGTCGGTTGCCGTTTCGGCGCGTTTTCGTTGTGAAATAAGACAGCAGATTAGTATATTCAGACAGTAGATCAGTATATTAAACATTTCATAAAATTTAAGAACATGGCGAAGCCTTAGTATGAAGAGTTTTACCAGTTGGATCAATTGGACTTTCGCAGATGCTGTTTTCGTCAGAGGAAGATCGGAGCTTGATCTTCTCCAGCAACGACAAAGAGGCAGCTCCAAAAGCCATACAAACGATGACGGAGCGGTGGCTTGCAGGAAAATGTACCCCGGAACTTACAGTTCGAATTCTGGAGATCATCGACGAGCTGGAAGAGTTTGGTTGTTTGAAATAACGCCCAAACACGCTTTTCTGCGAGATGTCAAGAGCACAATGCTCCACATATTGCAACAAACTGGTTTCGAGAAACGAAACGGGAAATCGAGCGAGCTTTAGAAGGTTTCCTCCCAAGTTTCGCGAGTCCTGAAGCGCTGTCTCGGGATACCTGTTACCATGCCGCGCGTGTAGCTTAGAAACCATACTGATCCTGCTGGCAGTATTTATACTGTAGATGCTATGTTGAATACCCTGTCATTGATGCCGATCAGCGTGTGGGCAGTTCAACTAGTTCCACATGATTATCATTCCTCATCTACCCAGGGTCATCCGCGCAGCTGAGTACCCTGGTCTGCCTGAGTGAAGGCTAAGCAGTTCTAGTAGTGCCCATGTGTTAAAAATATCGTTCGTCAGGTTTCACTTAACTGGAGAATCCTACTTTTTCACTTTCCACGCATAGTAAAATCACGGGGTCAAAATTCATAGGCAAAACCATCTTTCTAGCAATCCTTTAAAAAACTCAGAAATTGGCTTTGAAGCAGCCGCTTCGACAGGAGGAATCTCGTTGAGCTCCCTCCTCACCACTACGCAATTAATAATTTCTCTTTGTTTGGCGTTTTCCAATATATGTGTTATGTGCTATCCACGGCATACCAATTCGCCAATATCCTCCTGTAATAACTGGGATGAGTGCTTGAAAGCCTCTATTTAGGGAAATATATATATCCACATATAAGGGTAGCCTCACGAGAATTCAACGAAACTTTTGCTCTGACATGCATTTCCCCCCGATCGCGTGTAACATAGTGACTCTGTTCGAAGGGTTCTCTGGCTCTGGCAAGCATTGTTTACCAGTATGCTTATTTTGCGCAAGTCTGCCTTTTAATGCAGGTTTACTCTATCGATATGTCAGCTGCTGTAGTGACGCACATGTTCCAGTAATGCACTATTCGCCAAATGCTTATGCCGCGCGCTATGATAATTACAAGAATTCCTGGCTACTGACAACATTCATACCTGATCAACACGCGGTTGTAACACATGTCCCGACTGCAGTCATGATGTACTGGAGCATTATGTAGTTTTAGTGAAGATATTTGTCTCCATGTCAGCTTCAGCTTTGCCCCACATTATTCCACTCACTACCCACTCTAACCATCATTATTATGAGAGTGGGTTGGGTGGGGTGGGAGGTGAAGAGCTGTGCCTGGTCTTTCCTAACGGGCGGTGTCCTGGTCCCTCCCGAGGCGTCGCACACCAACGGACAGATTCAGTTACCGCCGTGCACAACCCTGCATCCCGGACGGTCCAAACTGGTCCCTGGTCACACCATGACCTACGCATCTTCATGTCGTCACGCCTGAGGTCCAGTAGGAGACAACGAAATTAGTCGACCGTCTCCTGGCCCGAAAGTAAATGAAACCAGTGCCTTCGAGTCACGCCACCCATTAAACGTATTTCTGCGTGAGAACGAGGCTGCGATCGTCTGGTTCCTGACTCGTAACCATCCGAGCCCTTTCCTCGGGCGTATTCCGCGCCTTTTCACCTCTCCCAGGCATTACCACTCCTGTGACTCGACCCCGTAAAAAGGGAGCATGACGCAAACCGAGTAAAAGCCTGCCCGCCTGGTGGGGGCGTCACCTGACCGATTTGAAAGCCATTGCTACGCCAAGTTGGCCGTCCTGCTAGCCGTGGGCGACTTCGGCTGGAGGCTATATCACAACATAAATATATGCATACAACCTTACGCATATATATATATATATATATATATATATATATATATATATATAGGGGCTATATCACAATATATCGCGACGCGCATTGGTTTCGGTTTCGAATACTACGTGAAATACAGGGTAAATTACCGCTCGGCTCTGCGACCATCGGCATCGGAAGGTGGTCGGCCCATCCGTGATCCGCTACCGTTGATCACTCCAGCGCCAAACACCTCGCCTTGCCGTAGCCCCGTTATCACTTCGGCGCGAAGCTGTTAAATTGCAGCTCATCAGCTGTATTTACAGTCATTTACGCAGCCACAGATCAGCCTACTGGCCGGGCTTTCGCTCTCCGCCGTCACAAGTTCTCAGCCACACCCGGGGCCAGCGCCGAAACCGTGCAACATATCGCCGCTCTCCCATCCCTGATTGCGGGATCGCACCTCTCGCCCCGAGACGTCGTCAGACGTGTGGAGCCCGTGCCCCCAGCCCCCTCTCCCCAATTGCACAGGTGAGAAGAGGCTGATGTCGTCCGCACCCGCCCAGTGGGGTCAAGGGGGTCATGTTGAAATATCTTGTCAAAGAAAGCAGTCAGCAGTTGCCATTCAACATCAACGTCAATCAATGGTGGCCTGCGAGCGGTAAATGAACGCATTGTTTTATGTTACATGCCTTTGTATTATTAGAGCCAGTTAAGCTTATGGTTCGTCTGCCCTGTGTTTTGGTGAATTCTGCACGTGAAAAGCTGAAGATATTCAGCTGAAATATTTAAAAATTTAAACATTTGGAATATGTGTGTAGGAATTCAAAACATTTTTATGCTGTGCTCTTCCCATCATCACAACCCAAAAATATTTTGCTCAGTTAAGTAAATGCACCCATTTTCCTACGTCGCCCGTTTTCTTTTGCCAGTACGGTATGTAGTATGACAAGTGCCAACAATCGTGCTGGGTGAAAGTCAGCGTACTTGAGTCACAAGAGCTAGAGAGAGTGTAGAATGTGTTCCAAGATGTCCAAATAGTTATTCTCAAGATGCCACGGATGGTTTTCCAAAAATGTTGCATCATATTTACAGAACATCCGTACAACATGTTGCAACAGCTTCTTAAAAACAGTACTCATTGGTTGTTATTATGACACTGTATATATCAGCGGTTGGCATTTGACATGAATATCAACCAGTCAGAGCTTCCATGCAGTAAAGGGTTTGGCCTACCATTTTCAGATTCCCCATGCTGGCAAAACCAAAGCGTAACCGTGTTTTGAATGCTAACATTCATGGTGCAAAACGCTTGCTGGCTTAATGGTTTCAGCTGGAACCTCCTGTTTTTCACTCGCAGAATTGCAGACAAGTCATAGGAGACATTGGACATCTAGTGGCAGGAATTAGACATGATGACCACAAGACAAAACATCATATTTGCTGATTGGATACTGGCACTGGCTGATGTGGACGTAAAGTGGCAACCTAAGATTGCCGTCTGTCACCAGCTGTTGTAAAGCTATTGTTCGGCCAGGAGAAACCTCCAAACAACCAGAGACAGCACACCAACCTCACTGACATGGCGAGGCCTCATGGTCAATAAAACAATGCAGGACGCGCCAGCAACGTGCGCCCCCCATTATGCCCCACTCCTCCGGGTCGTTATAAGAAGCAACGGTTTGATTTAGTTCGTACTTATGAGTTGCTTCTAACTGCTGGTGGAGTAGTGACACTTCACATCCCTATCGCGCCGTGCGTAGTGCTGCGCGGCGCTAAGAGGTGCTCCTACCACCCTTGGCCGGTCGCCGGACCGGTCCACCGTGGACCGAGTCCTCCGGGCTGGCGTCGATACCAGCCAGGCTATCGGGACAACTGCAAACGCTCTTGTCCTCCATCACGTGTGCTGGTACGATCATACGGAAGCTACCCAAAGAAGCCAGGACACTATCGAGAAGGTATGAAATTCTCTGCCTTTAATTGAGGGCCGCCGTAAATACGATCACGTCGCGGATGTTGTAGATGCCCTAGGGTATCTACAACATTGATACACTGATGTGGATACCCTAGGGTAGTTGCCACCCTCCGGCCCCTCCGTTTATCGAAAACTGACGGTCGTTTACGATCACCAGGGCAGGCCATTCTATCATGTTTTGTCGAATCTTTCATCGAGGCTACGAGGAAGGCAAAAGGAGAACGAGACAAGACACCGAGCGAAGATTACCAGGTCCTGGCCGTGATGCCGAGGAGCGCAGATGGCTCTGCCACGCTGCGATGCAGCATAACTGCCGTCGGTGCTTCGTGACATGCCTCTCAACAGGGTCTGAACCATCCCTGAAGCGCGTTATGGTGAAACGCGGCACGGCCGACCAGCCGCCGGTGTGTGAAAGTGTGCTCTGCATGTACGCATGCATGCTTTACACCTGGTGCCCGCCCCACTGACGCGAGATGTGAGCAGTACAGCGCTCTGCTCTGCGCATGTATCCGAGATCTTACTGTGTAGCGCAGTCTGATGCGGTGCGACACCGCTACTAGAGGCAGGCCAGACGCTCGACACTGCTGCCAGAGGCTGGCCAAAAGATCACTGTGTCGTCGGAGCCCACGCCAGGAGCTGACAGTGTGTCGTCAGAGCCCTCGTCATGGGCCGACGATGTCGATAATGTGTCGTCGCAGCCCACGGCAGGAGCTGACAGTGTGCCGTCAGAGCCCTCGTCATGGGCCGACGATATCGGTAATGTGTCATTGGAGCCCACGCCAGGAGCTGACAGTGTGTCGTCAGAGCCCTCGTCATGGGCCGACGATATCGGTAATGTGTCGTCGGAGCCCACGCCAGGAGCTGACAGTGTGTCGTCAGAGCCCTCGTCATGGGCCGGCGATATCGGTAATGTGTCATTGGAGCCCACGCCAGGAGCTGACAGTGTGTCGTCGGAGCCCTCGTCATGGGCCGACGATGTCGGTAATGTGCCGTCGGAACCCTGGCCAGGGGTCGACGATGTCGGTAATGTGTCGTCGGAACCCTGGCCAGGGGTCGACGATGTCGGTAATGTGTCGTCGGAGCCCTCGTCATGGGCCGACGATGTCGGTAATGTGTCGTCGGAACCCTGGCCAGGGGTCGACGATGTCGGTAATGTGTCGTCGGAGCCCTCGTCATGGGCCGACGATGTCGGTAATGTGTCGTCGGAGCCCTGGCCAGGGGTCAACAGTTTCGGCGCCAGGACAGCCGACGACATTGGCCGAACGGTGTGGCGCAAGCACAGGTGCGAAACGAAGTGTCTGTGAGAGGCGTGGGAACCCAAAAGCTCGCCGTGCATTTTGGACAGAGCCGGTGCCGAGTGACGGTTTTGGAAGCAGTGAACCTGTGGAGTAGTAGGATAGTGACCCCGTAACAAATGGCCAAAAAAGACGGAAGCATAAATAAGATCACTGTAAATAATTTCATCATCTAAATGCAAAAGCTGGAGAAAGCTAACGCACCGGCAAGCTCGAGCGGCTAATCTAGAGTGCCATTTCTCGCATTTCATAAGCTTCCAGTAAAATGATAACGCAACGGTATATCAAGATTATGTTCCTTTGACATGCAGATCTGCAACCATAAAGTGTTTCCTCAATAAATCATTTATATGCTACTAACGAGTTGATCGTTTGGCAAGTGTCGTTCAGTTTCAACAAGCAGCGTCATCCCACAGTCAGAACAGCGACAGACGCTGGGTGTTCAGTGAAATATACGCATCTTGAGCGCGACTGTCTGTGCTCGGCGTGCAATGCTCACAGAACGTCGACGCAGGGATCATTATAGGTTTACCACACATGAATACGCTTGCGCATGCATAATAATGGAAAATATGACAAGATCCATGTAACGCTTGTCCTGTGTGTCTTATGAAAATTGACGATTTAAATGTGGCGGTTCGCTTGCACCAGGGAGCCTCATGTCAACACTGCATCAGGCAGTCCCATCGATGTGGCTTAACACCCTGTGTGGCGGGCACATGCCATCATAGCACATGTAAAGGTGCACAAATCCAAGCAATTATCGCCACCACCGGTTCCGGTTCTCCGGTAACACTGGCTCCGTGACCCGGATGCCAGTCCCGTCCGGCCGGAGGTCGCCGCAGTGTGGCGCCACCGCGCCGCACGCGGTCCTGAGCGGGGCGGCGCGCCGCTCTCCGGCCCGGGCCCCGCCAACGCCGTGATGGTCCGGGGATGATGGCCCTGCCGGCCATTTCACGGTTGACCACACACAAGGCGGCGCCCGGCCGGCGCCCGATGGCGGCCGCGTGCCGCAGGTAATGAATCCGCCGGCGAAATTAGCGCCGCCGGCGGTCGCCGCCGGTCGGGAGCTGGGCATCGCGCGTGGGGCGGCCTGGCGGACACTGCTTGGGTGCGGATCTGGCTTCAGC